ACGGTTGACAAAAATCTAATTTGATCACATAGCTACCGATATCCGATTAACGTGATTTTTTACAGACTTATAGTACTTGACGATTTCTACACATTGAACGGTTCAGATTATCAAAACGGGACCCGTGGTGGGCCCCCACGGGTCCAACAGCACGGTCCAGTCCGATTAAGGACTGGAGGGAAGCCAATGCCATATATATATATATATGTAAAATTAGATAAAGTATATATTTTATTTTAATTATATTTTTTAATCTTTTTTTTACATCTCCCAAGTAACTATAGTTTAAAGTAGGGGTGTTCGCGGATCGGTTTTGTGCGGTTTGCGGTTCGATTTTGACCCGCCCGCATTTATGCGGTTTGGGAAAAAATCAACCCGCAACCGCCCGCAGTGCGGTTTGCGGTTTGTGCGGATAGGGTTTGCAAATATACGGGCGGTTGCGGGCGGTTTGCGGTTTAAACTATTTTTCTTTAAAAATTAATTTTTGAGTTTTTTTTTCCAGCGAATTTAAGCATCAAATTCATTTTATATATTTATGATAACAATTTTTTGATGAGTTTACAAATAAAAGTTGAATATCAATGCATTAAATGAAAGTATCCAAAACAAAGAGACCCTACACTAGCATTTTTTCCATGAAAAAAATGTATATCAATGCATTAATCAATGCATTAAAAGAGAATTGCCAGTTCAGTAATCAATAATCAAACTATAAGTTCTATCGACCATTAGAAGAAAAAGACAAAGAATGGAGTATATTTGGAAAAAAGTGGAATGAGAATAGTGGCTCCCTTTTATATATATATTGCGAGTGTTTGTTGTTCGGTTTTGGATGGTTTGCGGATCAGTTTAGACCCACCTTGCATGTATGCGGTTTGGGGAAAATTCAACTCGCAATCGCCCGCAATGCGGGTTATGGTTTGTGCGGATAGCCCGCAACCGCCCGCGGGCAGTTGCGGACGGTTTGCGGTTTACACTTTTTTCTTTAAAAATTAATTTTCGAGTTTTTTTTTTTCCCAGCGAATTTAGACATCAGATTCATTTTATATATTTGTGATAACAATTTTTTGATGAGTTTACAAATAAAAATTGAATGTCAATGTATTAAATGAAAGTACCCAAAACAAAGAGACCCTACACTAGCATTTTTGCCATGAAAAAAATGTATATCAATGCATTAAAAGTTGTACTCAATTAGAATTGCCAGTTCAGTAATCAATAATCAAACTATAAGTTCCATCGACCATTAGAAGGAAAATTTTTTTAGGAAAAAAATGGATGAATCACCAATGAAAATCATATAAGAAACCGAGTTTAGGACTTGATAATTCTACGGCATTAAAAAAGTTGAGAAATACCTAAAAATAAGGATCCTATAGTGTCATAGATAATATAATGGTGCTCCTGTAAAAGTTACAAAGTTGGTATATAAAAAGTAAAAATAATAATAATAATAATAATAATAATAATTAAAGTGCGAGCGGTTTTTGCGGGTTGCGGTTTAAACCCGCAACCCGCCCGCAACCCATAAATTTGTCATATTTCAAACCGCATCCGCCCGCATTATATTTGCGAAACCGTCAATTTATATGCGGGTTGGGCGGATTGGACGGTTTGAATGGTTCGGATAAACCGTTGCCCACCCCTAGCTTAAAGCAATGCTTTTGATCATGCTAAAAGGAAAAATTAATGTTTAAAATTCACACAAAACTTCTCATAATTAGACATATATGATGTGGCATGCTAGATGGTAATATTTCGGGTAAATTATCTACATTTCTCTTGAGGTTTAATGAAATTATAGATTCTCTCCAGAGATTTCAAAAATTACATTCAGCTCCATCGCAATTAACGTCGTTAACGGATATCATAAATTGATTAAAATGCCCTTTTGACAAACAAGGACAAATTACCTACACCCCATTGAGGTTTAACTAAATTACAGATTCTCTCATGAGATTGAGCTAAATTACAGATTTCCCCCTGAGGTTTAGCTAAATTATCATTTTTAAATAAATTATGAAATACAAAATTAAAATAGAAAAACACTTGTCACATTATAAAAAAATTAAGATTTTAGAGACCGAAATTTATAGACAAAATTATTTTTAGGGAGAACAAATATTTTTGTTACGAAAAGTGTCGTTTTATATTTTTTGCAACGAAAATTGAATATTAATGATTAATTATTATCTTTTTGGTGTCAATTTTTTTGTTTCGAAAAGTAAATCATTTTGAAACCAAATTATTTTGTTTCTAAAAATCTATTTATTATTGACATTTTTGAAATTTTATCGCTAAAAGTCTTATTTTTTAAGACGATCTTTTAACGACTATTCTCACAGCGATAGAATCCTTAAATGTCTTTTGCAACAAAATTGGTTTCTAAAACTCTTGTATGTTATAGTGTTAGATGGTGAAAATATCATAAAAATAACAAATAATTAAATAAGTTTAAAACACATGAAATGGATTGTCAAAAAATTCTTAGAATATGTTTGGTTTGATTTTTTTAGAATTTTTTTTTTAAAAAAAATTAAAAATTAATTTGGTTAAGAAATAAGAAATAAGAAATAAATGTTATTTTTATATAGTTTTATCTTTTGAGTGGTTAGAAATAATTTTTACAAATTAATTATATTTTTTAATATTTATTTTTAATAAACTAGTTTTTATTTTTTTTTAAAAAAAAAATTGATTTTTTTTTTTCTAAACAACAAATCAAACATGGTTAATTTTTTTTTTTTCCATTTAATGTAATTCTTTTGTAAATTTTGTTGATTTATCAAAGAGATTTCAGCAGAGAATATTGTCCATCAATTCTTAACGTTTAGTTAACGGTACGGGTTAAATTGTTATGAAACTATAAATCTTAGGAGACGGGATATAATTTCTGAAACCTCAAGAGGGGATCTGTAATTTAGCTAAACTTCGAGAGCGATGTAGGTAATTTGTCCTAATGTTTAATATGTCACACACTCAATAGTATAGGGTTTACCACTCTTGTCATATCATTATGAATGAATTTAGAGGTCAAAATTGTGAGTTTCTAACACTTCCCTGTTAAAATTTATCTATATGTTATCATTATTTATTAATAAATTTTTTTGTTTAAAAATATTAAAATTAAATTTTAATTTGATATAGCACCCACAAACTGCAATTGTTAATTTTAAATAAATTTAAGTCACATATAAAATTCAAAGTTTATCCTTAGTTCTCAAGACCCTGCAGCGAATTTTAAATATAACATTTTTGTATTTTACATAAAAAGATAAGATTAACTAACCAAATCAAACCAAACCAAGCCTTAAAAAAAGAAGAAGATAAAATTAACTAACTTATTAAAATATAAAAATCATGTTTTTTTATTTTATATTTTAACCATTTAAAAAAGATAAAAAAAAATCTAAAGTTATATAAAAAATGAAATTAACTAACTATACCATAATATTAGTTTGATGTTAACGTTTTCATAATTTTAATTAAAAAAATAACCAAAAATTTCTGCTTGAGATTTAATTAATTTTCTTTTTAAAAATATAGATAAATACTTTCAAAAAAATTTGATTAAATAGAAATCCAATCCACCATCTAATAGATAACAATCAATTCAAAACTAGAGATTCAAATTTTAAGTAGAATTAAAATTTTTAAAAAAATGCTTAGGAGCTCTAATTAAGCATTCATAATTCACTCTTAATAATGTAGAATGGATCCTACTCTTCACTCCTTATGCCTCCCCTCATTAGAGGTCAAAATGGAGATGATATACTAGGGGCAGAGCTGCAATTTGGACAAGTTCTAGGTTTTATTGGGTCGGAGCTTAGTTTCCAAGCCCATACCCAAAAAATGAAAGTTTGTATATTGAAGCATGGCCCATCCAAAAAAATAAAAAATAAAAAACAACCTTGTATTATGGATTAAATAAAAGAATTAAGAATAAATAGTTGTGTACCAAGTAGTCTCAAATAAAAGAATTAAGAATAAAGTGTCAATCTTTGATTAGGACATGTGATTTAATTTTATTAAATATTAAAGTTCAAGTATTAATAATCAGAATCTTATATGAAATGTATAAATCCGCAGTCCAACATGTGATCCATTTGCATGCCAAAAATACAAAAAAAAATACAAAAATAAAAAAACTCATAAAGGATTAAAATGTCAAGAAGTCAGAAAGAATGAATATATATATATACCCTATATATATATATATATATATATTTTATGTATGTTTATAATTTAATTTTATTGAGTAATGTTACATAAATAAATTTTTTTTAAAAAGTTATAAGTTGACATTTTATGAACCTCTTATTTTAAATTAGAATAATATTGTAGTTTTTTTTTTCATAGGAGAATAATATTGTAATTTATAATTGTATTTTAAATTAGAATAATATTGTAGTTTTTTTTTTCATAGGAGAATAATATTGTAATTTATAATTGTAAAACATCACTGTCACAATATTCTAATTATATATACTAAGATAAACCTAAAAAAAATCACATTTTTCCTAACTTATTCATCTTTAGTGATTTTTTTTAAAAAAATTTCTGTCAATCTTTCTTTTTTTTACTTTTCAAGTTTGCAGGACTTAAGAAGTATTTAAAAAATATATATACTAAATACACACACGCACAAAAAAAAAAAAAAAAAAATTCCACTGGTGGAGTAAAACCTAAGAAAAAATATTAAAGAAAAAGTTTCTAAAAATGAACAAAGCCAATAAAGAAGTTAATCCCAAACCCACAAAATATAGAAATTCTATTTATAAATAATTTTCCTAACTCAATAGTTCAATTCAATTAATATCCTATATAGTAATTTATTCAATAACAGACCCCTGTTTTCTTTGGGAAAACACTATGCTGTGTTTGGCAAATCAACAATTTTCTTTGAGTTTGTTGCTTTCAGTACAACTTTTTCCTCACAGCTCTTCATCCCTTTCGCCTGAATCCTCTCCTTCTCTTATCCGTAAGCTCTCTCTCTCTCTCTCTCTCTCTCTTCTTCACGCGCACACACACATCTTGCACGGATTTCCTTTGGAGAAAGTTTTGTTGCTTTCTGTGTTAATTTGGTCCCCTGTGACTCTTTATTGAAACACCCATTATTCATCTTCTTGATGCACAAAATTGTGCATATCTGTTAACCCTAAGTTGTGTTCGTATTAATTTTGGTAAAGTTTCTTCTGAATCTGTTAAACCCATGTTCTATTTTATTTTTTGGTGCAAACCCATGTTCTAAATTTGGTTTGATGAGAATGCTTCTGTTTTCTGGTATTGCTCACTTTTTTTAATTTTGTTTGTTGCAATTGGTAATTATCTTCTGAACCAATAGGATATTCTTGATGCTATGGCTTTAATTTGTGATAATCTGTTAAACCCATGTTTCAGTTTGTGAAAGTTTCTAAGACCTATCTTTTGTCTCATTGTTTTGGATCTAACATCTAGAAATCTTTTATTTATTTATTTATTTTCAAAGAGTCAATTTGGAATTTTACACAAATTGTTGTTACTGTTATTAGGACAATTTTATATGTTGTTTAATTGTTGTTTTCTTTTTCTTTGATTCATTGCAGAAACAAAAATTGTTCTTTCTTCAAGTAGTTAGCGGGAGTCTCGTTCAGCGGGACGCTCTTTTTTCAATCCTTAAGTAGTTAAACAAAAGGATTTCTCAGTTCTTAAGTGAATTGTTTGATGATAACATGAATTCGATCAAAGAAGATCTGCTAAGTGCAGTGGTGCCATTATTGAAACTTCTCACCCTTACAGTTATAGGACTGGTTCTTGCACACCCAAGAACTCAAATCATCCCTAAAGCAACATTTAAGCTACTCAGCAAACTTGTTTTTGCTCTTTTCTTACCCTGCCTTATCTTTACCCATTTGGGTGAATCGATCACACTCAAGAACGTTGCACTCTGGTGGTTTATCCCCATTAATGTATTGGTCAGTACAGGTATAGGTTGCATTTTGGGGTACTTGGTAGTAATTATATGTCGTCCACCTCCAGAATTTGCTCGATTCACCATTATCATGACTGCATTCAGCAATACTGGAAATCTTCCACTTGCAATTGTTAGTTCTATATGTCACAGTGAGGATAATCCGTTTGGTCCTGATTGCCATCGGACAGGTGTGGCTTATGTCTCTTTTGCTCAATGGGTTGCTGTAATTCTTGTTTATACCTTTATTTATCACATGATGGAGCCCCCTTTGGAGTACTATGAGATTGTAGAGGAAGGGATCGACGTTGAAGAACAAAACCAGGGTAACGATGTTAGTAGATCCCTTCTTGTGGAAGCTGAATGGCCCGGCATTGAGGATAAAGAAACCGAACATTCAAAGACTCCTTTAATTGCAAGGGTTTTCAATAGCATCTCAAGTATTTCACAAACTATGTTGCCTGACCTTGATCTCACACCAGATGGGCCCGAGTCTATTAGGTGTTTGGCAGAGCCTAGAGTAGTTAGGAAGATGAGAATCGTTGCTGAACGGACTCCAGTACGACACATACTTCAACCACCAACAATTGCATCTCTGTTAGCTATCGTTATTGGAATGGTGCCTCAGATCAAAGCTTTCTTCTTTGGAAACGATGCTCCTTTGTCTGTCATAACAGACAGTCTAGAGATCTTGGCCGCTGCCATGGTGCCATCTGTAATGCTTGTTCTTGGAGGTATGCTTGCTGAGGGGCCAAATGATTCGAAACTTGGCCTTCGAACTACAATTGGCATAATCGTGGCAAGGCTATTGGTTCTTCCTTTGCTTGGAATTGGAATAGTGGCGTTGGCTGATAAGCTGCATTTTCTTGTCGACGGTGATCAGATGTACCGGTTTGTGCTTTTGTTGCAGTACACAACACCGAGTGCCATCTTATTGGGAGCAATTGCAAGCTTGAGGGGTTATGCAGTCAGCGAGGCCTCAGCCCTTCTCTTCTGGCAGCATTTATGTGCACTGTTCTCTCTTTCACTATACATTTTCATATACTTTAAACTGTTATCATATGTTTAAGGTTTAAAAGAAGCTTTAGACTACCAGATCCATTGGGAAACTGATTAGCATGTAAAGTGCATTCTGAAGTTTTGTGGTAAATTTCTTGATGGGTTTGATAGATTCTTCTCTCTTATATATATATTCTCTGTTGTTTCTCCACACCATGTAATTTTTAAAACATGAAATTCTGAGAAGACCTTGATCCATGTGATTTTCTAGTGTCTAGTACCTATTATATGTTAAACATGTTTACCTATCAGACATTCCTAATATGTTTTCAATTTTGAGATTTTATTTTATTTCATTTTATGGAGTAATTCTTTTAATGATTGTTTTCTGTGTTTGTGTGTGAATTTTTTTTTTTATTTTATTTTTGTATTGAGGTCGTTATTAAAACATAGTAGTGAAATTAAGTTGTACCCTAACCATATTCGAAGTTGGACCCTAAAATGTCACCAAAAAAGAAGTTGGACCCTAAAGAATTCCTTCATACAAACTTGGTGTATTTCAACTGCTATTATTGTCTCTAACACAACCCAGGAAGTCCTACAACTTGTATTATTCTAAGCATGGTCCATACCTCATATAGGTTACGTTAAATTGAGTTTATTATTTTTAACCATTTTAATTTTCTTGACATGTTGGAGGAAGGTTGTAGGTAAGGATGATCGCGATTCGGTTTTAGATGGTTTGCGGATCGATTTGGATCCGTCCACATATATGTGATTTGGGAAAAATTCAACCCGTAATCGCTTGCAGCGTGGGTTGCGGTTTGTGCAGATAAGGTTCACGGATATGGGGGCGGTTTGCAGATTGGACTTTTAAAAAAAAAAAATTTATTTTGGAGCCTTTTTTTGTCCATTTTGTAAATATTTATTTTGGGCCATTTTCCTCCCATTTTCTAAAATTCTCCAACATTAATAATTAATGAATTAAAACTTATGAAATTAAAAATATAAAAAAATAATTCCTAAGACCATCTCCAACGGTTCATCAAAGTTGACACCAAATTTAAAATCTGGTGAAAAAGTTACTGTTTGGTGCTCCAACGGTTGCACCAAATCGATATTAAATTGAGATTTCAGCAAACGATTCATCAAACTGAGGACAGAATACATATTTCATCAAAACACTGTGTGTGACTGTTGGAGCAGAAAAGGTTCAGAATTCTACACATGGTGGCCGACCACCTGGATGACCACTTGGTCGACCCCTTGGTCGACCACCCGATTGACCAACCGGTCGACCAGTGCATGAAAAATTGGCCTGCGAATGTAGGTTCAAACAGTTCAAGAAGGTTAACAAAAAAAAAAAAAAAAAAAAAAATTTGACTTTACCGGTCGACCAACCGGTTGACCCACAGAGGTAGGTTCAAACAGTTCAAAAAGGTAAAAAAAAAAAAAAAAGGTCCAATCATCCTATGTTTGTTTTGACATTTTAGTTTAGGATTATTAATCCAATGGATAATTAATCCAACAAATTTGTAGGATTATTAGTAATGGGGTAGGGGTGGGATAACTAATACCACACTAATTTAATAGGATTATTAATACCTCACTATTAGTGTTGTGAATCAAACATGGCCTTAAATCAAATCATAAACTAATACAAGCACATCTTTCAAAATCTTAAACTAGATCATCAATCTCATTCACTATCTACTATCCAATAATACAATTAAAGTAAAATCATTCAAAATCTTAAATTTACCTAAAAGTAATTATTCATTAACTTTTATATTCATCCAAAATGCAATGATAAAATAACAACGATCCAATTTATTTATTTATTTTTAAAAAAAAGTGTGCAGATGGGTTTTTGTGGGTGCGGGTTAAACCCACAACCCGTAATCATATCATATTCTAAACTGTATCCATCCATATTGTATCTTTAAAATCGCTTATTTATATGTAAATCAGTTCGAATTAAGTGAGTTGTATGGTTCGGATAATCTTATGTCGCCCTAATTGCAGGGGTGCGAGAATCCAAAAGATAAAATTGCTATTATAAAGAGAGAAATTTTGGTCTGAGGTGATTTTATTTGCCCAGCACTTTCACCTCATTACAACTCAATTTCTAATTACACAATATAAAAAGATTTAAAATTTTGTTCTCTCTTTACACTCGTCATAAATAAATACCAAATATGTCTTCATCTTTACACCTAGGGTGCAACTCGGGCGGGTTCGATCGGGTTGGGGGGCTGCCCAAGCCCGACCCGAATTGTATTTGGCACTGTCCAAACCCGCCCAAGCCCGACCATGAACCCGAGCATTGTTGCCCAAGCCCGGCCCAAATTTTGTATTTTGAACTCGGGTTGCCCGAATTGCCCGAGTCCAGAAACCTGTAGGTAGATCTAAGGGTAGACATAAAAGATGCTAATCTAATGGTAAAAAACTAAGCCAAACCTTAACCCCATCCTATCGGATTGGTGACTCCCTTCCTCCATTACAACCTTCCTCCTTAGCCTTTTTTTCTCCATTGACGACCTCCTTCAACACGCCATCATTTTTCTGGCCCATCATAGTCACCACCTTTTCAACTAGGGATGTGCATGGATCGGTTGTAGTCACAGAACTTTCAATCCGTCATCCGTCTGTGAGATTGGCAGATTGGAGAAAATCAATCCGCATCCGTTCGCTAATCTGACAAATGTGGATTGAGTGAATTGACGGATTGATGGATGGATGCGAGTCAGTTTGGCGGTTTAAAATTTTATAAATTTTTAACATAATTCAACTTATGTACTTTTTCAAAAAAAAAAAAAAAGAGTATTACAATCAATGACATAAAAAAGTACTACAATCACTGTATGCCTCACCAAAATAAAGAAAGTTTGAAACTTTAGAATATTACAATCACTACATGTCTCATTCACATATTACAATCATAGCATGCCTCATCCACAAAAAGTATTACAATCTGTGATTCTTAAAATATAAAAACAATTCAAACCACCAAAATCATGAACAGAGCAGTAGTAGAAATTGTATGTCTTTATATTATTACATATGTATATATTTTTGAAAAACAAAAACCAATTAACATATATCATCTTTTTTATTTAGTATTTTTAGAGTTAAAACTAAAAAATATAGATAAATAATACATTTATTTTTTTCAAATCAAAAAATATATTCAAGTTGAAAACTCTTTCACAACAGAATATTTAAACTCTTTTTCAATTGAAAATACAAGCAAAATATCTAAACAAATTGAAAATACAAAATTTTACAAATTACTAGAGGTGCTTGCGGTTTGGCGGTTCAATTGCGACCAAATGAATCTCAAATCCGCCATCCATCCAAAATTAGGCGGTTTAAAAAAAATCAATCCCCAACCGTTCACTCATTATCACGCATCCGTCCAAACTATGACGAATCAGTTCGATTCGATCAATTTAACGAATCAGTATATGCGCGACTCACTCCTAATACCTTCCCAACCCCTTCTCCAGTGTTATGTTCGGATTACATTTGCTGCTTTAGGGCCTGTTCACATTAACTCCATTTTTTCATGTAAACAATTTTCAAAATTTTAAAAATAATTTTTTAGTGTTGCTTAAAAAGTAAAGATTTTGCATAAAACACTTCTTTAAAATAATTTGTCAAAAAAGTTTATTTGTGTTTTCTTGAAAATAAAAATAGAAATCAGAAAGTGAAAATATTACCAGAGTTTTATTAATGCGATGGGTATATAAAAATAAAAATAAAAATTTACAAAATATTAATATATGGTCAAATTTATTTTAATTGTGATTCAAATGAATTAGAGTCTCACATGGTAGTTAAGGTGGCTAATTTTTTTTATTGACTTTGACAGTAAAATTTATTAAATTTATATTGAGTATTTAAGAAAAAATATAAAAATATATGTATTTATAATTGATAAAAAGTATACCCCGTGTAATACGTTATTTGCATAGAAAATTTCACCATTCTGGTAAGGGGCAATTCATAGCCAAAACTAAAATTTGACCCACACAAAGTCCTCACATGCTTTGACCTTATCATCTTCTTTGTTCCGACGTTTTAATAGACGGCAAGATTGTTTGGTAAAGTTTATTAAAATTATTTAAAATTTATTTATTTTTATTTTTATTTTAAAGGTTTTATATCAAATTATTTAGTATAGTTTTTTTTTTTTTTATAATTTATAAGGTAAAATTAACTAACATAAGTTTTTAAAAAACTTGTAATCTAAAATTTGGAAAGGTATACTTTGAATTTTTATTTTTTGATTATTCGCTTTTAATTTATAATAAATTATACCAATGAATATTGTAACATATCATAAATGTTTACCTTCCTTGTTGACCCTTGAAAATTTTCTAAGTTGAATGTGCGAGCAAACCCTCTATGTATGTTGAATCCACCCCGGTCCAACCTTGAATGAGATTTGAAATCCAAATTTCAATTAGAAGTTGTTTAATAATTAAGTATTAATTTAAAATTTAAATAATAGTTATCAATTTTTTGTATTAGCAAATATTTTATGTGAAATTTATTTTCTTCATCAATTCTTTTAACTGAAATTCTAGGCTTCAATATGGAGGGCGCTTTTAAATAATAATTTTCTTTAGATGTATCTTCGAATAAGAAGTTTTAATTTATTGGACTTTTAGATAAAGATTTTTTTTTTTTTTTAATTGCCTCTCTTAAGTGTCTTTACTCAAAGATTATTATTATTATTAAATTTTTTTTAGACGTAAAAAAAAAAAAAAAAATCAATCTTTACTATTGAGGGCTTTTGGACAAAGAAGGGATTAGAGTATTTCTAACACTTGCTCTCTTTTTTCATTAAATTTGAATAAAGATTTGGGTTAAAAGTTTCATCTGATATAAAGTATTCTAATTCTAAATTTTCAATTTTCATTAAACAACCGGTCGACCGGGAGGACGACCGGAAGGATGTCCGGGTGGTCAACCAACCTAGTGTAATTTTCTTCAAAATTTTCCTAATCCGGTTGTCCCTTGGTTAATCGTCTGGTCGTCTACCAATGGTCACCTACGAGATTTGATGAAAGGTTAAATGCTCCATTAATTTGATGAAAAAAAAATAGGATTCCCTTCATTTGATACTAATTTGGTGAAATGGTTGGAACACCATTTTCACTAAATTTTTATGAAACTTAAATTTGATAAAAATTTTGAATCTGAGTTGAAGATGTTCTAGTATAAGATATTTTGCTTTTAACTTTGAGACA